GGCGCCTCGAGTTTATTGAGATAACAAAAAAACCGAAGCGAGACAAAGGACTAAATACTACTCTGCTTAGCACGTGCTGCTTTTTTTTTGTATTCTTCTTCTCGAAACTATAAAATAAGATAAATAATTAATATATGACTCTTCTGAGAAATTTACTAGAAGAAAAATATATAGAAAAGAACATCATGTGTTCACATTATTAATCTATATACTTATTTCACTGGTGTGATCATTTGATCATTTCTTAGTTGTCAAAAGGTCAATTGGGTATTTTTAAAATTATAATGTAATTTTCCATATCGAAAAAAGAAGATGTATAATTGACTGACTGAAAAATTGGTCTATATAATTGACTAATTAAAGACTATAACAAAGACTTGTATTCTTAATTTAAATGTGAATTTAATTAACGACTATCAAAAGGACTTGTATTGTCATGTCAATGGTGGTGTTGTTGTTACGTTATTTCTTCGAAGATGTATGTATATTTCTAATTTTGTTTGTTCTTACGTTCTCATATGTTTATTCATTAAAAGAGAAATAAGTGTGTAAAATGACACCAAGAAACTAGAAGTAAGAAATTTCTCTTGAGCTTGTCTTCGATGTGGGTGTTGCGCATGAGGAAAATTGATGTTTACATGTGTAAAATTAAATGTTGATTCAGAATATAAGTAAGCCAAAATTCGAAAACTAAAGATACGTCATTTTTTGTTTGAATTACATAATTCATAAGTCAAACGCGTTTATTTTTCTTTTTGCAGAGGAATTTTACAAAGGAAAAAAGTTTGTGACATTTCTTAATTTCCACACAATTTCTTGGTGAATTTCATGGTCTTATATAAAATTAAACTATACAATTTTCATTAGGAAAAAGAAAAGTCAGGTCAATTTTGACTTAAATTCTAGTCTGTTTCTTGGTAATTTAAATAAGGGAAGTAACCAGTAAATTGATGTTTACATGTGCAAAATTAAATGTTGATTCAGAATATAAGTAAGCTAAAATTCTAAAATTAAAGATACGTCATTTTTTGTTTAAATTTTATAATTCACAAGTCAAAAGCGATTTTTTTTTTTGGTCAACAAAATGTTTAGTTCGGATTTAATAATTTACCCGAAAAGCAATTTTTCTTTTTGCAGAGGAATTTACAAAGGTAAGTTTGTGACATTTCTTAGTTTCCACACAATTTCTTGGTGAAACTATACAATTTTCATTAGGAAAAAGAAAAGTCAGGTCAATTTTGACTTAAATTCTAAGTCTATTTCTTGGTAATTTAATAAGGGAAATAACCAGTAAGGTGCCTTTGAGATATCGACACAACACTTTGTGTATATGATTTACACACAAAGCTATAAGCCTATAATTAAAAAATGGCTAGATCATACAATAAGGTTTAGTTCGGATTTAATAATTTACCCGAAAATTTGAATAAAATTTCCGAAAAAGTATAGTACGTTGATGATAACTTAAAAAAAGATCAAAAGTGTCTTGAGTAAAATTTGGCACATGGCATATGTCTAAAATCATAACGTGCATGCAAACTCATAAACCGTTAAGTGATCAAGAATATCCTCAACTAAAAAATGAATCTTGAAACCATTCACTGACAATATTAGCTAAGCTTTTAGCATATGTTAATAGGTTTGAAGCATTACAAGGAGAAGTGGCTGAAATTAAGCCCATTATTCACCTT